AGAATAATACAAAACATTTTCTGCTTTTTTATATGAAATATAAACATTTATTCTTTTTTAATATGTTTTTGTTGATTTCAGAGAGGAAGGGAGGAGAGAGAGACAGAAGCATCAATGTTGCCTCCTGCACAACCGCCTACTGGGGATCGAGCCAGCAACCTGGGTATGTGCCCTTGACCAGAATCGAACCCAGGACCCTTCAGTCCACAGTCTTAACGTTCTATCCACTGAGCCAAACCAACCAGGGCTAAATATTTATTCTTTGTCAAAGCCTTAATGTCTCTGAGCCTCAGTTTCCCCTTCCACGCAGAGGGGATGATCCTGTCTAGCTCAGAGAGTTCTTAGGAGACTTAATGAAACAATGCACAAAAGTGCTAACTCAGTACCTCAAATGTGTACCAACTGTGGTTGATAAGAAACTCTTGATATTCTTTTATCACATGGCCAAGAGTTGGAACCATTAGGACAGAAGAACCAAGAGTGTTGATTACAATGCTGCCCCCACTCCAGGGAATGGGTCTCAGCCCAGGGTCTTTAGAGACACATCAACAAGCTTTGGGATACTTTCAGGTTTGGAAATGCTGTTTCTGCTCTTCTGGGCATCAGAACCATGCTATCTGTCACCTCTCAGGAAAGAAACAACTGTTGAAAAAAAATGGGGATTTTTTTTTCCACAATAAAAAGGAAACACAGAATGGCAAAAGCTAAAGAAGAGAGTGAGCAGAGCTAAGTGCCCCTAAGAGAATGGAAAAGTATTCTAGCAGCCCAGCCCCCAGCCTGTGCTCACTTAGCTGACATTCCCACCAGTGCTCACAGCCCCAACCAGCCTGGGCACCCTGCTCCTTCCCACCACTCCTCTGGTCACAGATTCACCATCAGAACCCCCTTCCTGGGCTCCATCTCTCCACCTTGTCTGTTATCCCTCCCCGGAGTCACCTCAGGGGAGAGACACTTAAAGCAGCTCTTTAAGAAGTGGGCACCTTAATAAGGAACTCTCAGATATATATATACTGCTTTGAAACTGCTCATTTTCTGTGGTGTGATTGGGAAGCCTGAGCTACGTAACTTTCAGAGGACTTGTCAGGGACCGCACGAAATGAAGCCAGAGTCAGAAGGTCTCCACCCAAATCGCTGGCAGAGGAAACAGAACCAAAACTGATTCACTGTAGATTAAATAAGGGCAAGAAGATGCTGGTGACAAAAAAGTTCACTGTCCACATCCAGGCATAACCCTGCCTCCTCCCAGCAGAGTCCCTTCTTAGCCCAGGGAGTTCTCGGGGCTTATGAGATGGCTTGCTCAGAGCAAATGCTATGCTGCCACTATTTCCCTTTCTAATAAGTTCCCATCACAGCCCTCTGTAGCTGGAACATTTTTTAGTTTCTTACTGAAATGCAAACATCTTAACGTGATATTCAAGGCTCTTCCCAGTCTGGTGTAAGCTCTGACTCTATCAGACTCACATAAATCCCAGACCTCATAACAAACTCCATCTGTAGCTCCCTTTCTTTTCAGCCTCAAAACCTGGTCCTCCAACAGGTAACAAGCAGTGAGGATGTGGGGAATTTGGTGGGAATGTGGAGTGGTACAGCCATTGTGAATACAGGATGGAGGTTCTTTCCAAGATTAAAAATATTGCCTATGACCCAACAATCCCACTTCTGAGTATATACCCAAAAGAATTGAAATCGTGATCTCAAAAGAACATCTGCATGCCCTGGTTCATTGCAGCATTATTCACAATACCAAAAACATGCAAACAATCTAAACTTTCAGCCGCAGATGCATGGACAAGATATATATAGTACACACACACACACACACACACACACACACCACACATCACACATCACACATCATACATGTATGCTGTGGAATATTATGCAGCCTTAAAAAAAAAAGAAATCGTGCCATTTGCTACAACATGGATGAACCTGGAGGACATTATGTTAAGTGAAATAAGCCAGACGCAGGAGAACAAATGCTTCATGATTCCATGAATATCAGGAATATAAAATAGTCAAATTCATAGAAACAGAGCAGAATGGTGGTTACCAGGGGCTGGGGGGAAGGGAATTGGGAATTATTGGTTAAAGAGTCAATACTTTCAAATATGCAAGAGGAGTAAGTCCTAGAGATCTGTTCTGAGCAGAGTGCCTAGAGTTAACAATACTGTACACAATAGTACATTTAAAATTTTGTTAAGAGGGTAAAAATCCATGTCAACCCGTGTTCTAGTGTGACCTCTCCTGCAGAACCCCACACAGACCTGCTTCCCTGGTTTCCCATAGGCTCTGATCATTTTACCAAACTTTTGGTCTGTTTCTCAGCTCAGAGAATCACAGTGACTGAGAGACTCGGGGTCAGTTGGCCTGGCCTCAGCAGCCGAGGGATCTTAACCTTGAACCTCAGTTTCCTCAGACACTCCATAGGGATGATGGTATTCCCTTCCCTACAGGCTCGTTCTGGGAATTAAATGTCTAATTCACATAAAGCACTCAGCAACATTTTAAGGGTTCAATAAATGTTAACTCTTGTTCTTATATAGCGTGTGTTCAGTTGTGTTAGTCAGTTGTTTATATGCTTATTTTCCCAGCTAGGTTGTGAGCAGCTTAGGATAAATCTTTATATGTGTCTCTATCTTCCTGCTTCTACTACTCAAAGTCAATACCTGTGATCAGATATTGAATTGAATTGAACTGAACTGAATTGAACTGAAGTCCCACCAGACGGAAGGAGCTACCAGCTAGGATTATTTTGTCTGGAGCTCTACTGCAGGGCTGAATAGGCTGAAAAAGGGATCTCTCTTTATGGGTGAGAAGCAGCTGATGGAGCCAGGGTGGTTCTGTTTCCTACCACTGAGTGGCCATTTGTCCTGCTGCCTCCACCACAGGTGGAAACAGATAGGGATTGAGAAAGCAATGAGCTGAGGTCTTCATTCCCACCCTGGGAACAACGTCACCTTGAGTCTCCTTGGTCTGAGGATATTTCAAGGGAAGGTAGGTCACTGGCGGGAGGAACGGAAACCAAATATCTGAACTGTTTGTGCGGAAGGCAAATTGGTGACCCTAGAACAAAGAATTCTGATATTAGACAAGGAGATAAAGTATGAAACTGTGAGTAGTTTGCAATCCTGGAGGAGAAAGCAAGGAATAAAGAGGGAAACAAACCAGCACAGTAATCAGTGGGACCAGAGCCTCTTCCTGGTCATCAAAGGAACCCTCAGGATACGTGTTGACTGGGGTTTTGTGCATGGTCTCAGTCACATTCTACTTCCCCATCCTAAGTGGCATGTGCTTTAGCGCAGTCACAAACTGAAATTTACTGCAAGACAATATAGAGCATCACTCATTCAAATGTCTGTGTGCTTGTCTAAGACCCTATTTGAATTCCCAGAATTACCATTACTTCATCATCCATGTTCTCACATTTCTCCTGTTAATCAAAATTCACATGCAACGAGTACAGATCAATCGCTGAACTGATTCATTAATGCGATGACTCTGAATAAGTCCACTTATTCTGCCTGCAAGACCTGCTCCCTTCTCTACTGATTTATTCTTTAATTAATGGGGAGTCAATTTTTATTCAAGACCACTTCACTTGCATTTGTTTCCCAGTGAGAAACGCAGCCCTCTAAACACAGCCCGTCTTTGTTTTCACAGTTCATAAATATCTCACATTCTTGTCCTTGGATTTAAAAGGTGATCATCATGGTAACATAATCTCTCATCCAGAATACAAATTGCTGAAGTGCCATTTACCTGTCACCTGAGTTTGCCACACCACAAGGCGATTGCCTGTGTCTGTGGTTCTCAAGCAGCATCAGAATCACATTGGGGGGCTTGTAAAAGCACAGATTGTTCAACCCAATCCTTTGAGTCTCTGGTTACAAGATTTTTCATTTATAACAAGTCCCCAGGGATACTAATATGCTGCTGGCTCAGGATCCATACTGTGAGAACTGCTAGTCAGAAAGGTCTAGATTCCTTCAACACTCATTCTGCTGGATAGATTCTAAAACTAGGCAGAAGGTCAAAAAAATACTTGCTTCTTTTTGAGGTGGCAATGTGTGGTTATACTAGTTGAAACGGTACGTTGGAAATGCCCCTACTCAAACTCACCCCTGATTGGAATGTTATTTTAGGAAGATGTTGAGCTTACAGGTCGGGAGGAGGTAGTGATTCTTAAATACATATGTATGTTTGAGATTGAGTTGGGAAAATGTCATGACTTCCAAACATCCATCAGATTCTAGGTGGGATTCTGTAAACCTCAGAATTTAAATAAATAAAAAAATTTATTGATTAATTTTAGAATGAAGAGAGAGAGAGAGAGAGAGAGAGAGAGAGAGAGAGAGAGAGAGAGAGAGAGAGAGAGAGAGAGAGAGAGAGAGAGAGAGAGAGAGAGAGAGATTGATTGATTTGTGGCTCCACCCATTCATGCCCCAACCAGGGATTGAACTTGCAACCATGGCACTTGGGGACAACACTCTAACCAACTGGGCTACCAAGCCAAGGCTAAACCTTAGAATTTTAAGGGGATTGGATTCTGAAGAAAGGGAATGCCCAATTTCTAAATAAGAAAATAAGAAGGAGGTATAGAAGAGGTACAGGAGAGCTGGGCATGGGGCTTGTTCAATATCCATAAGAGAGTCATTGAAGCATCAGGAAAAAAAAATCAATCAAAACCAAGCGAGTGTTGTTAGTTTCAGCAATATCTCAAGTATTTGGAAGGTAACTATGAATGTATTTTATTTTAACAAATGCAGTCTTATTCTTCTCACCCTACCAGGTTCTCTAGTAACACAGAAGATTCTTTTAAAGTCAGGTCTCTAGCCCTAAGCCTTATCGAGCCATTAGTATTTCATCTAAAAGAATATAACATTTGGACCTGAAATCTAAGAGTAAGATTTGAACCAAAGCATTCAGACAAGCTTGTTCTGCAGCTGGAAGACAGTGAGTAGGATAAGATTTTTACGTTCTCTTTCTTTTTCTTTTAGAAACAGGGAAGATTGACCAAGAGATTCACAAGTACAACACCCCAGGATTCACTGGGTGCCTCTCCAGAGTTCAGTTCAACCAGATCGCCCCTCTCAAGGCGGCCTTGAGGCAAACCAACGCCTCCGCCCACGTCCACATCCAGGGCGAGCTTGTGGAGTCCAACTGCGGGGCCTCCCCGCTCACCCTCTCACCCATGTCGTCCGCCACCGACCCCTGGCACTTAGACCACCTGGATTCAGGTAAAGTCTAAATCGCCATTAGACAAATTGCTTTATTTCTTTAAACCTCATTTTCTTCACCTGTAAAATGGGGCTAATAACAGCACCTCACTGGTAATGTAGTTGGAGGATTAAGAGCAAAGGAATGTGTGGGTACACGGGTTCTTAGCACAGAACTGAGCACATAACAAATGTCACAAGTTCCCACCGCCATTCTAGCTCTTTGCGAAAAGTAAACAAGCCAATGCCTGCACTGCTGGCTGCAACGGGATTGCTGAGTGATCTGATCGAATCACTCCCGCACGTTTCTCTGTGACTCTTTGATTTGCAGCCCCTTTGTCCAAGTTCTAAGCTCAGGAGGAAAAATTTAAAGCAATACAAAGATTGCATCACCAACACTGAGTTTATATGAATAGCCTTCCTGCTTTTTAAGTAATGGGTTTAGGCTTCCAAAGCTCAGAGGATTGAGTCCCACTTCCATAGTTAATAAGATATGTGGTTCGAATGCACAGGGCCAAAATGAAAGGATGTAGCTGTTTCCTGCAAAACTAACTGGATGCAAATTCAAGGTTCTCATAACAGGGACTGGTGGGGAGCCTTCTCGCTCTACCCAAACTCACCTTGGGCAACTAAGCTCACTTGTGCAAGCCTCTGCTTTGTCACTCAGAGGCATGGAGATTTGGAGGCCTCTAAGTGATCTCCAAACCTAACATTCAATGGGTCTCCAAAGCAACATGAGATGTTGTTGATGATAAAGACAGGAATAGGACAAGGAGCAGGACAAAGTGGCATAAATGCCCTCACCAGCACAAGGGCAGGTATTCCAAACTTATTCCTAAATTTCCCCATATCTCAAGTGGAAATACTAAGACTAACCCATAGAATTATATTTGAGATTATGTATTTAAAGCACTTAGTGCAATTATAGACACATAGCAAGCTTCACTAAAGTTTAGCTGCAATACTATTACCAATGTGGTCATTGTTATGTTAGACACAGTTTGCTATGAGGCTTGAATGTCCACTAAAAACTTCCAAGTCCTCCCCCACCTTAATGTCTAATTCATAACCATTCGTAGTGTAAGCGTGACACATTTGATTGTTTTTACATATTCCAGGCACCATGTGTCTCAGCTTCAGGCACAGTTCTCATTGTGGTCCTTGCCAGGGTTTGTGCTGCAAAGCTTTGTGAAGCTTCCAAAGAAGCCCAAATTGCCCTGTTGTCAGAATAGCCAGTTTATAGACTAAATAATCATTCCTCATACATGGATTCCCATAACACAGTGAGGGGTGCTGTGTGCCAGGGGTGCGTATGAAGAATTCCCTTTCTTGAAGGGATCACACAGTGGCCTGGATGGCAGGAAGCATTCCTAATGCTGAGAAAAAGAAAACACAAGTGAAAATATAAGATGAGAAAAGACAGATGCCAGGGCTACTGAGGAACAGACTTCCCAGGTAAATCCCTCCAAATGCCAGAGTGGATGGGGATAGCACAGGAGCTTTGAGACACACAGGTGCTTAAGCCGTTCCAGGTACTCCCTGCATGAGGCTCTGAGCACGTGCGGTCTAAGCTGGCTGCCAATAAATTCGTTTCAAAAACATCTAGATGTTACTTTGGGCCAATACAAGGTTAGAGTCATTATGTCTTAATTAGCAAATTATTTGCCTTGTGGACTGTGAGATACAGTTGTGAAAACCAAACAGTTCAGATTCATTTGGGTTTTTTCAAAATCATGATTTCTGCACGACAATTTTATTCTTTTGGTTGATATAATGAAAAAGTATATAGGGAACACTTCTGTTATTATTCATTGTGCTAATCAAATTTCTGCACCCCAGGTATTATGGTTGACCTGTACTATAGACCATATGGTCAATTTGCAGAAAAATGTCCACTTGCACTTGGGCAGAGGTCTTACCTGGTGTTAATCAGTTGCTGTATCAATCTCATCACCATAATTTATTTCATAATTGGAATTCCCAATTAATTTCCATAATTATGAAAATGTGTATGAAGAAATATGAACTTAATTAGATGGACAGAAAAAGAAGCTTCTGAAGTCTTGTTTAGATAATATGATTTTATTCTTTTCCTTTAGGTTAGTGGTCGGCAAACTCATTAGTCAACAGAGCTAATATCAACAGTACAACAATTGAGATTTCGTACAACGATTGAAATTTCAATAGTACAACAATTGAAATTTCTTTTGAGAGCCAAATTTTTTAAACTTAAACTTTTTCTAATGCCACTTCTTCAAAATAGATTCGCCCAGGCTGTGGTATTTTGTGGAAGAGCCACACTCGAGGGGCCAAAAAGCCGCATTTGGCTCGTGAGCCGCAGTTTGCCGACCACAGCTTTAGGTGAATGGGAACATAAGAGAGAAATGGGAGGCAGGGGCTGGACATGGGGACAGAGAAAGACAGACAGAAAGGACAGTCACTGACTAGCAGCCTTTAGTGGCTTAGTATCAGGGAGGAAAACTTTCCCTCTGACTTCTTATGTCATTAGTAATTAGGGACCGCCAGATTAAACCGATAAAAGACAGATTAACAGAAGAAAAACGTTTATCGATGTGAAAGCTTATAAGAGGGTTAGCTTAATAAATGGCTAAAGGCTTGTATACCTTACTCAGTAGGGAACAGGGGGAGAGAAGAGCTGTCTATGGAGAGAACAAATGGGTTCCTACAAGAACAGAAGAGAGAGAAGCAAGTTTGTGATCATGCTTGTTTATGCAGGTGGGAGTGGTCTTTCTGTCTTCTTTAAGCCATAAAACTCCCTTGGGGAGGGGATTTATGGTAGTTTTACTCTTGGTCTCCTTCCAAAGGGAAGTAAAAGCCACTCAGAAGGGGGGTTTAAGGAGCCTCATTTCCCTGAAGTTTCTACGTTTAATCAGATAACAGAAACTCCAAAAACAATCTCTTTCTGCAGATTTCATCTATTGAATTGCAGATGTCCTCAGTTTAAACTAATCTTTAGCTTCCAAGTGTATCCCCACATCAGCAAGTGCACCCTAGTCTCTGTGAGCCTCAGTTCAGCATTCAGGATTCTGATTGGACGGTTTTGCTTTCTTCAGATAACCTTCCTGTGAGAGTAGAATAAGAATCCTTGCTGTCAGATAGTCAGGAACAAAGCAGAAGTATATAGACAAAATGCCGGTGCTGGCTGTAAATCATGTCTTTCTTAAGTCTGTGTAGGTATAGGACAGAGAGAGGACAAGGGTGAGGGCTGATCCGTCCTGGTTTGAATAGGACATGTGAGTACCTCATTGCATCTGGTGCCTTGGAAAGGACGGCCCTCAACTAGAAGATGAGGAGCATTGGGAAGCTCATTAGAAATGCAGAATCTCGGGCCCTCACCTAAGACCCACTGTGACAGCATCTACATTTTATCAAGATTCCCAGGTGACGTACCATCTGCACAGTCAAGTTTGAAAGCACTCACCTGTTCAGTGGTCCTCAATCTCAGATGTACTTTCAAATTACTGGGAGCTTTCCAAAACCCCAGTGTCTAAGCTACACCCCTGATCAATGAAATCCAATGCCCTGGGCGTGAAATGCAGGTGTCCATCTATGTGAGACCTCCCTGGGGGATGGGAGGGTTCAAATGTGTAGCCAAGATTGAGGATCACTCTCCAAATAAGAGAGAAACTTACTAATAGCCCCCGTGGTGAGCCCTTTTAAATAAGGTTACCAAAAGGAAAGGAAATTAATACACAAATAATGCAACAACAACAAAACAAAACAAAATTATGAAAGGTAACGAAGCCTTTAGATGGGAAGTCTCAAACTGAAAAGCTGTAGCTATAAGCTTGCAAAAGATTGGGCTCCTTTGACCATCTTACAAGGATGCTCATGGAGACACAGAAGTTTTTTTCTAAAACTTGAGGGCAGCCAATCAGCTTCTTGAAACTGGAAAAGCAGACTTCAGACAAACCAACAAGAATTCCACAGTTTGGGGTTGAACTCTGACTCTCATGAAAGTGTGTCATAGAAGTTGCTGACTCCATGAAGAAACCTCAGTTTGAGGAAGATGTCCAAATATTATTCAATTTATTGAATCAACTGCAAACATAAATTGAAAGGATATTTGGGGGGGGGGGGGGGGCGGTTGCTACTTAACATGAAGATATGGCCCTGCCGGTGTTGCTCAGTTGGTTTAGCACCAGTTCTGTTTCTGGTCAGAGCACATGCCTAGGTTGTGAGTTTGGTCCCTGGTCAGACTGTGTATAGGAGGCAATGGATCAGTGTTTTTCTCTCTCACATCCATGTTTCTCTCTCTCTCCCAAATCAATAAAAAAAAATTTTTTTTAATGAAATATGTGCATCTTCAAAAATAATGCACACGCCTGGCTGTGAAGATGGCCTCAGTACTGAAGGGATGTCAGTGATAAACCAAAGCTACTCACTTCACACCCTCACCAGGGTATGTGCTTTGCAGAGACCAGGAGATTAGAACTCAAGACATCCACCCCTAGGTTTCACAATCTTTGTGCTCCCTGATGTTTCTCTTACTTAGATATATCAGATGGTAAAAACGGAAAATATATTCTAAGTTATGCTGGCTTTGTGTAATAAGATCCTTTTTCTCTTCTATAGCACTCCTCACTGAGTTATTCATTACCTCTGTGATGCTTTGTGGGCTCTGCAGTGTTTTCCAAAGCAAGAGGTTGGCAGGCTATGCACCACACCACTCCCAGGGAGGAAGTCTGACCCCTGCAGTGCATCCTGGTGCCTTTGATAGGGGGTCACTGTGGAAAGAAAATAGATATGGCACTGCACAACAGTGTAAAGTCACTTCCTGTTTATTTCTCTTTCGGCCCCTCAAATTCTGTCAAAGAGAAAGTCTCCGATTGGTTCTGACATGCCCTTAACACCCCTCCCCCTTGCTGTTGTCCTTCATTAAAGAGAGAGCAGGCTTCTGTTCAGAGCCCTGACAGGAAATAGAATTACTCAGTAGGGTTAGAAAGTTGTATCAATGCATTTATTTAAATTATAAATTGGATCAATTTAGTGAAAATAAG